GTCGCCTCTCGTTTGACCTGGAGGCAGCGCAAGCGATTGCCGAAAATGGAGACGAAGAATGCGAACAGTACAAGAAGAAGGTTTAATTGCTTCCATGTTGAATCGATGGGGCTCCCCAACCTCCACGGATAGTTGCAACTCATGCAAAACACGTAAGTTGCAAAGTGTTGTGAAAAGTGGCGGAACATCACAAAAACAGATACTTAGTTGTAGGTAAGCAAGGGAATCAGAAATTGAATTCAACAGGGGGAGTGAGAGCTTGCCACTGTCCATGTAGATTCTCCAATTAAGGGAATTTTTTGGGAATTGCGCGGTAACATCGTCTAAGTGGTATTTGTCGAGTGTCATTGCCCCTGGAAGAAAATTGACACTTCGTAGAGCTGGCATTCCTTCGACATATGGCAAAAAGGCGGATCGCTTGATCCACATTAGGCAAGTGGTTACCGTTTTGCAGGCAGCAGAGTCGAGAAGCTGGGGCGTGAGGTAGACATTGAGTAGCCTCTCGACACGGGTATTTTTCTCCACAAAGTGGATCAGCGCCGTCGATGCATGCTGACCCCGAGGACGATCATTCCCTATATCTATGGATAAAAGATTAGGGATTGACTCTAAATGATTGAAGACCGCATCCCAGTCAGGTACGCCAATGCGGAGGGAGGAAATTCTTCCACGATGAGGCGATATTAGATAATTGACATGTCTCCAGACTAGGGAGGATGCTATATTGAGATTCAGGGGAGCTGATATGGAAAGACTGAGTGCTATCTGGATCTTCATTTCGGCGTCGGGTTTGTTCTCAATGGTTATGCTACTCCACAGGCTTGGTGTTGATAAGATCGCCACCTTCCATGACTCCGACACCAAGGTCAACAGAAGCATGGCGTCTATATCTGAGCTGTGCCAAGTGCTGGTGGCATGGCCTATGATGCCAATGAACACCTCCACGGGGAGTCGCTTGCATGGGTCTGAACGAGGCCCATAACGATGAATACGATCTGCCTCCATCAATTGATTGTAATCTTTCTTCAGATTCAGTAGACTCTCCTGTACTTCGCCGTGAGAATGGCCATTGGACGGGTCGAACTGGGCCGACAACGATGCTATGCGCTCAAGAAGGCTTGTCCGCCTCTCGAAGGAGTTGTTCCTATCAGATGAGATCCCTTCTGCTTCCGTTGTAATAGTCTCAGTTGACGGATCGGACATCGAGGGTAAGGCGCCGGGTCCAAGATTTGCCTTTGCGCGCCATGGCTGAGAACTAGCTGAAGTTCATCAATCTCGACTTTGCCCGCTCACGTCATAACCAGCTTTGTTACAATTCTCATGATCAAAATCTAATCCCGAAGTCCGAGACAATGGCATATCGCGAAGATTTCTGACACGTTGGAGAGGAGATTTCGATCCATGGATCATTCCTGTTTGGCTTCAACCGTTCGACAAGAATATCAGTTGAAATATACCAATTTGATTCAGGAGACTCCTTATCGCTTAGGGCAATTCCACATAGCAAGCGTTATACTAGCTCGAATCTCAGCAGGGAGATATACGTGCATGCACATTTCCTTTCAAAGGGATTAATTTAGCATAGCGAAAGTGAGTAAAACGGCTTCAAGCCTCAACTCTGAACACGCCTATCGTTGGCTATGGTCAATGGCACGAAACGCCGTGGCGCGCAAGATATGAACTCTGGCGCTTCCCTCCTATATCGAAAGTCTCAACTGACAATCCCTCACAAGAGACATCGAACACCAGCTTCGATATAATTCGACGTGAAACTTGTCATAGCTTTTCTGTCAGGACTCTAGCGTAAGAGTATACGGTTCGCTCTTCATGCCCAAACACGAGCTGGAATGGTGCTATATTGCTTGGTAAGAGGATGGTAAAGAACGACTAGAAACTAGGCCAGGGTAACGGGGTAGACGAAGGGGCCACCAGGCTTTTCAGACAAGGAACTCCGGTAGAACGCAGGGTTTGACTCGTCCATCGTTTAGTCGGTGATTCCGTTCAAACCATCGACGATACCGTAAAACGCTGGCTTGACCTGCAAGTGTTCATCCCACGGCAGAGCAGCACCCTAGAGAAGAAAATGGTCAGTTTAAAATCAAGTTGCCGAAGAACATGGAGATTTAAAGGGTTGAATAGTGTTTACTCACTTGTCCACTGAACACGCTTGGAATCCAGGAATAATAATCCGAATAGGCCCAGATGGTGACACCAATGCACCTCGACACGGCCATGCAGGCTCTAACCACCGTATTATAATCCTTCTTCTGCTGGGCGAGCAAGGCGTCCGTGACGGGGAGGGTCATCCGGATATCCAGTTCAGTGACCGCGACGTCGACACCAGTAGCAACCAGCGACTGGAAGCCGGTGACCAAGGTGGAATAGGAGGGAACCGAACCGACGATGAGATGCGCTTGTGAGCCTACTTGCGTGATCTTCACTCCGCGTGATTTAAGTCCGTTCACTAAGTTGACGTAGGCGGTCACTTTTGATCCTCCATAGTCGAGGTTATAGCTATTTGAGCGAGAAGATTTCGTTAGATCCATAGTTTCTGTGTATCTGGATATCCTTTCACGTACTCATTTGCGGCGAGGCCAACATTGGGGTCCGCGGCGGCAGCAGCTCTGAACCTATAGAAAACGTTCGTCAAGTAATCACCAGAACCAGAAGAAACGCACGCTATATCGACAAAGTACTCGCCAATAGTCGTGTAGAACACGCTTGTTCGCCATGTACCGTCGTCCTATCAATGCAAAAGGGTTAACAAAGAAGGGCTCAAACTCTATCCGTGAATAACGAACGTTGAAGATTTCATTGACTACATCCCACGTCTTCACCTGACCTGAAAAATGCGTGACAAGATTTGTGACGTGGTTCTGGAGGATGGAGACTAATGTAGCATTGTTGAATCCACCACTGGTGACCCAGGAAGGAAGCTGGCTGTGCCATACTGTAGACCCGAGTTGATTATGGGAAAGCTTGTGAACAAAATAGTCAGCTTACCCAGGGTATGCCCACGGATTTCTCTTCCGCCCCCAAGAGCCCAGGTCACAATGGCATCAGCAGCTGAGTAACTAAACGAATTGCGAGACGGCTCGGTAGCATCCCACTTCATCTTATTACCTGGCGTGATTTGACCTTGGATATAGTTCATCGTCAGTTTCGCTTCACCGATGCAGTGCGAAAGGAAAGGGAGAGGGAGAATTTTTGCGTACCAAAGAGGTGAGTATTGTCCAGCAAGACTTTGTACGTCGCATTTGCCAGTTCGTTGGTGTCAACGGCAACACCAAAGTACTGCTTTCCAACAGATTTTGCGAGGTCGTGGAGAGGTGTGAGAGTCGAGGTTGATATCGCAGACGAACTTGAGCGGGTGGAGCTAGAGGAGACCGTAGTCCTCGTCGAGGAAGTCGTCGCCCGACTGCTTGAGATTGATCTGGTAGTAGAAGAGGTCCTCGAAGTAGAGGACGACCTCGAGGTAGAAGAAGATCGCGAAGTGGACGAGGACCTCGACGTGGAGGTGGGGGACACGGTTGTAGAAGGCGTGAGGCACTTCCAAAGGGATCAGCTACCGACATTAAATGCCGTGGTCATGTCTAACCTGCCAGTACCCTTGATATATATCAGGTAAAATGAAATTTTCAGTAAATTGGAACACTCACAGTCGTTCCAACGATAGCACACCGTTCCGGATGCGCAGGTAGTTTCTCCTGTCCAGTTGAGCTATACAAAAGCGACATTAGAAAAAGGAAATCTGCCCTGTATCCACTCATACACCACCGCATTGGCCTAATCGACTTGGCGTTAGTTACTATTTCAGAGTCGGTGACGTGCTTACCCCATTGAGGAACGACGGCGTTAACGCCATGGGAAAGGGACGCTAAGAGCGCGATTCCAGTAGCTAGACCCTTCATCTCGAGAGGATGGGAGATACGAGAATGACCGTGAATGGTTCGCGGCCAACTACCAATCCTTTTATGATCACCAGTTCCCCAGTACCGCGGATCATCCGAATAAGGTTCTCTAAAATTGTCAGGACTGATTTGGAGAGAAGAGAAGACGTCGTCCGCGGACCGAAATCTTCTCACTAGCGAACCCAGAGTTGCGCCGATATATCGGCTATGTAGCTTCCATCCGGGGGGAATGAGTTAAGAGTTAAGATGATGCGATTGATCCGGTAGAAAGAAGTTGTTAGCGCATGAAACCTTCCCGGTAGCCCGGTGCCCTCTGTAGATAAAAAGGAGCGACCAAACGAGGCAATTCGGCGTGATCTATTGCAATTAGCGATCCTATTAAGAGGTTGTCCCCAATGCGGATGATACCATGGGAAATATGGCAAGGCAGGTCGTGGACCCAGATCACTTCCATCCATCGTTTCCGTCATTGGATCGAAGACTTGGAATTCCCAATTTGAAGTTGACCGATTCGGCTGTTCTAGCGGTGTTATTCAAAGTGATCGGCTTCCCGTTTGCTATGTATCTTAAGTCAGCGGGCTTTGGTATTCCTAAACTTTTCATTAGTCATGAGTCAAGGACCAGCAGATTATCAGGCCTACCATCAATTCTCGGGATATGATGGGTCCTCTTGCATTGTGAATCCGTTGAAGGAAAATGTCTTTGATGCAAGGGACGAGGAAAAGCATGAGCATCCTTAAATGTACTCCGAAGCATGTACGGGCCGTCCCCGACACATAAGCCTCGTTCATTCGTTTAGACTAAGCTGGATGGTCTTCAGCAGCTCAAACACACTGCGGCTGAAGCTCTCCATAGTGATGCATGGCCAAGTATTCGCTATGACGACATTATCACACCAGTATGTCAAATATGGACGCATTTGGAGAACAACCAGTAATCTGTGCCCGATGAGAGTCGTGGTCGAGGGCAAAAAAGATTGTACCACATTCCACCAGCGGATCGCTCAAGGAGAATAAGAAAAGCAAAAAGGAGAGGTAGAAAGGAAAACAACGTCTGAACGCATGAGTTAAAAGTTGCACTGTAAAAACTGGGGTGAACTGGGATTCGAACCCAGGGCCTCCCGCAGTCAAAGCGCCATCGACGCCGGTAAAACCCGAAGCGGGAATCATACCACTAGACCATACACCCAATAATATCAAGTGAAAATGAAAATAATTTATCTAACTAATTAACTTTGCTGTAAATGCTTTGTCCAATCTACTGGGTAACTGTCAATCTACTACAAATTTATCAAGCAAAACAGTATTTCCAACACAACTTTCAGTCTACTCTCATGCAAAATTTTGCATGGATCCCAAGGCATTGCTAGATTTTGGAATTTGGTTGTGTGCCTGACTGAATAGCTATGCCTTGCTCTGCCCCCATTCTCATCCTTTTATCCTCACAACAAAACTACATGATGTAAAGTGAATATTTCCTCTCAAATAACAAGAAGAAAGGCTTATGCTTTTACATTAGGTTGCGCAGCTCATGCATAGCTCTGCTTTGTACAAGGGCAATGATACTATACAAATCTAAAGATCAATCAGATTACCCCACAAACTTGTGTGACTTTCACAGGTGTTTTGGATGCTCTGATGCCCTGCATGGCCAAAGGGCAGAGCACTTGGTAGCCAAACTTGCCTTTGTCCCATGCCCCAGTTGCAGACGTGAGATTTGATCTAGTTCAATGAACAGGATGCAACTATTTCTGCATCACACATGTCAAAGAGTCTCTTGTACAGCAGGGACAACATTGTTGAGATGCTCCAGGTTGGGGATGCGCCTATCTGTCATGGTATTACAGCAAACTGCCTGCGTAATTTTGCTACATAGCAATGCTATAGTCTCTATTTTATGCTCAAAGGTCTATCCAATCAGCGGAGAAGTCCTGGGCGCCCCATCATCCAGGAATCAAACCTTTGAGACATGCCAAACGCAGTAAGGACATTTGAACCACCACACATCTGGGGTTTACACGTATAGCATGAAGCTTGTGGGAGTATAAATAGCCTGCTCTACTACCCTAATGCCTCTGCAGACTGGTTCTCCCCACATCAGTAAAACATGGAGTGTCTAATTAGCACTAATTAGTGCTAATTAGTGCCTCAGAAACATTAGCAACTCCCCCCCTCTAATTAGAGCTAACACTAGTCTAGTATTAGCTCTGTTATATCTAAATATGCTAACAGTAGCCTTATATAAGACTTATTAACTCTAATATCTTATGATTAGCAACTCCCATTTTTATGTTTTGCTGATGCATTGTTCCTTCAACTGCTTGTCACTTTTGTCACAAACCTATTCACATGATTTTCTTCTTCTCTTTCACTTTCCTGATTGTAATTGCTGGTTTGGCCATGTCTGCGCCTCTTCTGAGTCCTCACGTTCCATCTCCAGGGTAACCTTTTCCTTTGTGCAGATAGCATTCATGCTTACAACCTCCTCTCCCCAAAAAAGAGTGATAGAGATGCCTAACTCCAACTCAGAATCCCAGAACGGGCTTGGTGCATTCATTCATCTTAGCAAGTGTAGTCTCAAAGAGGAGTCCACCACTCCCAGGTCCTCCTCTTCACGTTGTCCTCCAAATGGGACACCCCAGGAGAGATATAAAAAAGCAGAGGAGGCTTGGCACAATGCAGATACAAAATCTAGTAAGTGAGATGCACATGCAGAGTTTGCGAAAGCATACCAGGCCTGCTGGCCAGACTGCTAGGAGTGATAGAATCCTCTATGCGGGGACAATCATGATGTGAAGGAGTGAGGGCAGATGGACAAGCAAGGAAAGTGGCGGATACCAGACCCTGGAGCATCAGATCAGAGGTAGGCGTTTATGTGAAAGTGGCAAAAATGGCGAGATGGGCATCAAAGTAGAGATTTGAGAGTGTTCCTCAACATTGGACTCTTCTATTCCTACCCAACTGCAAGAACAATGTAATGATAAGCAGGGCTTGATGCTTTGTGTTTTTGTGACTACAGTTCCACTGTCCCATTTGTATTCTGTCTTGAGACTATATGTCAATGGCATACAGGCCTACCAACGAACGAGGGAAGTTAGCAATGGCAAAAATCACGGTAGGCACATTGCTTTGAATCTTTGACTTTGGACCTCTCCTGCAATGACACGGTCTCAATGAGTGACGCTGTTACACTCACTACTTTGAAAAATCATCAATCTCGTTTGAGTCAACATAGGAATCAGTCTCACAACAGCATCCAGCAAGAGAAAGATTCTGAACATGGTCGGTCCAGGCAAGCTCAGGTAATTTGTATGGGTAAAATAGATTTCTGATAGCCTAATCAGCGTCTTGACCATAAAATGAATATTTTTACCCACAAAATGTTGCCTGTCCCAATGGCTTCAGTTCAGCCCGCGCACAGAGGCATTGAACACCGAGGGCTCGGTTGCATTGGGTGCACACCGCATGCCACAATAGGGCATGTATTAGGGTCACATGTTTGCACCAAGTCTCCTACTGATTTCTAAGCAGGAATACAGGTTGCATACAATTGTACTGTCAACCATTTCACTCCCCACTCGCTTTTTTGCAAAGATGAGATGCAATAAAGCATGCAAATCACAAGTTAATTGAGTATCAGCATTCAATATTCCACACCCTGTGGTTTACAAGTTGGGCCTGAAATTTTTTCTCATTGTTTATACTCTGACCCGCACTCACTCCTTTGGCATTGATACAACTGTTTTACAGTTTTGTGTAATGGCACCGGATACCATGATTACTGACTAATACTGGGCCTCCATGATCGGTCCTCTCTTTCATTCTGTGATTGGGTCCTCTCTTTCAATCCGTGATTGGGTCCTCTCTTTTACTCAGGCTATGTCCCCATACGTGGTTCAGGTGTCCCATTTCTTGGATATTCTCACTCTTTCACTTGAATTACAAGTGTGGTTGCTATATTTTTAGCACCCCTTCAGTCGATCCTAGAAGCTCAGCAGTGCGTTAATGCCAGATCCACTTGAGCACGTGATGATGGAACCATCATGTCTATAATTTGGATTCTCTCACTTCAACTGTACTGCAACTGTGTATTATCTTGTATCATTGGCATCTATATTGTATTTGAACATCCACAACTGCCATTCAACTTTGAACCTCAAAGAATACAGGATAGTTGTGTTCCTGATGCTAGCCGAAACACAATAATTCTTGTTTCCAATGCATGGTGTGTGGTTCATTGCTCTAAATTGCTCTCATTGCTTTCACTGCAGTCATTGTGATATCCAACTGCCATTCGTGGAGTATTTCTTCAAAAATATCATACCTAATCCACCAAAAAAGCCATTTATAGGCTTTTCACTACACCTAAACTGCTTAGGTAATTCTAATTGCACCAATTCAAGCTGCCTCATTAGATGTGGCAGTGTCCAGTGGCAGAGGACCATGGACAATGGAAGTCTACATGGGAAACTGCTGATGAATTCTTCAAATTGGGGAATACAATTGGCAATGCATCACTCACCTCTCTTAACTCCTCTGGATGGCAACCAACAAGCACCTCGTAGGACCTTGAAGGGTATAAAAGGTGCCCAGTCCAGCAGCTCATGGACCACCAGACTGGCTCTCAACTTATCTCTTTGTTTCTTCCACTCTATCATTCTATTTTTTCTTTGTTCAACTTTTCTTTCTTTCTTCTTTTTGATTATCTATATCTTCTTTCCTACCATGTGCATCTCCTATGTCTTCACCTATCTCATCATTGTGTCCATCAGCGGGGTACTTGCTCTACCAACCCATCAATGGTATGCACCCCATTTACTGAAGATACATTGATGTCTTTAACTGACTCTATGCATAGAGAGACTCCCTTGACAGCTGATGTCACCATCCACCCAAAAAGACATCCAGATCTGTCAGTGTCCCCAGTCTCTCTTGGGTTGAGTTTGCCATCTACAGGCGCACCCTCAGCATCTACTC